GATGATGATGATGATGATGATGATGATGATGATGATGATGATGATGATGATGATGATGAAAATGAAGATTGTTATGATGATGATGATGACGATGATGCTAATGATGATGATTCGCATCATGTTGATTTTGATGATGATGTTGATGATGGTGATCACTCGGATGATAATTCGGAAGAAGATTTTGATGGTCACGATGAAGAACATGATGATGATATTGTTGATGATCCTGATGATGATGATGATGATTATAATGACGACGGTGTGGTTTCGGATAAAAGTCCTGTTTTGGAGGATGATGAGGATTATGATGATGATGATGTTTGGCTGATGATGATGATGATGATGATGATTATGATGATGATGATGATAGTGCTTTAGGTGGTGATGATTCGTATAAGGATTAGGATGATGATGATGATAATGACGATGAAGATGATTAGGATGGTGACAATTTTGATGCAGATGACGATGACAATTATGATAATGATATTTATGATCATGTTGACGATGATGTTATTGATGGTGACGCTGAGGATGAAGATTCGAATGATGATGAAGCTGATACTGATGATGAATCGGATGATGATAATGGTGTTGTAGATGATGATGACGACGATGATGATGACGATAATGATAATGATGATGATGGTGATGATGATTCGGAAGATGATGATGATGACGATCATGACGATGACGATAAATATTATGATCTTGATATTGATGATGATGATGTTGATGATGATGTTGATGATTATGATGATGATGATGATGATGATGATGATGATGATGATGATGAAGATGAAGATAATGATGATGATGATGACGACCATGATTATCATATAGATGATTCGGATGATAATGTTGTTGATGATGATGTTGATGATTATGATGATGGTGATGATCCTGATGAAGATGATGATGATTATGTTGATGATGGTGCTGTTTCGGATGACGATGCTGTTTCGGATGATGATAAGTATCAGGATGATGATGATGATGATGATGATGGTGATGCTGATTAGAATGATGATACCTATTTGGATGAGGTTGAAGATACTGATGATGTTGATGTTGATGATGATGATGATGATGATGATGCGATGATTATGAACATGATAATGCTGATGATAAAGTAAATGATCATCGGAATCATCATCATTATAATTATCATCATCATCGACATCATCATCATCATCATCATCATGATTATCGTCGTCATGATGATAATCTGCATCTGCCGATTCATCATTATCAGCATCATCATAGTCATCATCATAATCATCATCAGCATCTTTCTCATCATACGAGAAATCATCATCTTCTAAGTCGTCATCATCATCATAATCATCGGCCTCGTCATCATCATTACCATAATCATCATGATATTCAGGCTCATTCTAATCGTACCCAACCTCATCATCATCATCATCATCATCATCCAATCATCATCATCATGATCATCATCATCATCATCATCATCATCATCATTATCACCATCATCTTCCGCATCCTCGGAATCATCGTCATCGTCAGACTCATCCGAATCGTCACCATCTTCATCATCATCATCATCATCATCATCATCATCATCATCATCATCAATGGCTTCATCATCATCATCACCATCATCCTCATTATCAACCGAATCATGATCATCATAATTATCGTTAACGTCCGAATCTTCACAATGATCATCATCATCATCAATGACATCCGAAACTTCAGCATCATTATCGTCTTCAACATCGTGATAATGAACATCGGCCGAGTTACTTACAATAATATCATCACCATGATCATCATCTATATCATCGTCATCATCACCATCATCCTCATCATCATCCTGAACATCATGAGCTTCATCATAATTAACGTCAGCATCATCATCATAACCTTCATCAACATCGGCATCATCATTAACATATACATTATCTCCATCTCCAATCGAATCCTCATCATCATCAACATCATCCGAATCAACATCATCCTTGTCATTATCATCAACATCATCATCATCATCACCGTCATCAGACTGATCATCATCATCATCGTCATCATCATCGTCATCATCATCATCGTGATCATCATCGTCTTCATCCGTAGGATCATCCGCATCCGAAACATGATCATCATGATTAACATTCCAATCAATATCATCATCATCTTCATCATCATCATCATCATCATCATTATCAGAATCATCATCATCATTATCATCGTCATCGTCATCATCTTCATCATGAACCAAATCGTCATCATCAGCAGCAACATCTTACTCGTCATCGTCATCGTTATCATCGTCCTCATCTTCATCATCGTCATGGTCATCGTCGTCATCATCATCGTCATCATTATCATCCTCGGATTCATGATCGTCATCATCAACATCAACATAATTGTCAACCCTATCATCATCATCCATATGATCGTCATCATCATGATAATCGCCATCAGCAATAACATCATCATCATCATCTTCATCATCTTCATCGGTATCATCGACAACGCCATCATCACGATCATCACAAACATCGCCATCTGCATCGTCGTCATCAATATCATCATCACCATCATCATTATCATGATCAGCCGAGATTTCATTCTCATATCCATCATCATCATTTTCGTCAATTTCGTGATCATTATTATTAAGATCATCAACATCAGCAGCAGCAGCAGCTTCATCCGAAATAACATCATCATCAGACTGGTCATCATCATCGTCATCATCATCGTACTCATGATCAACGTCCGAATCAATATCATCTTCGACATCATCATCATCATCATCATCATCATCCGAATTATCATCATTATCATCATCATGATCCAAATGATCATCATCATCATCATCGTCATCATCATGGTCATTATTATCATCATCTACATCATCACCATAATCCCAAACATCGTCAGCAATAGTGTCATCATTATCCGAATCATCATCATTTTCGTCAATTTCGTGATCATTATTATTAAGATCATCACCATCAGCAGCAGCAGCAGCTTCATCCGAAATAACATCATCAGCATCATCATCATCATCATCATCATCATCGTCATCATCATCATCATCCTTATCATTATCTTCATCATCATAATACTCATCATCATTCGAAACAGCATGTTCATGCGAAACATCACCGTCTTCATCAGAATCATTATCGCATTCGTCATCATCGTCATCATCAACCCTTTCTGAAACATCATCATCATCATCATGAATATCATCATCATCATCATCGTCATCGTCATCATCATCTGCAACACCATTATCGTCATCCGAATCATCATCAGCATCAGCATCATCATCAACCAAATCTTCATCTTCAGAATCACCATCAATATACCATCATCATCTTCATTATAAACACCCTCATCATCTGCAGTATCTGCATGAACATTATCATCATCCGAATCATCAACAGCATCATCAAAATCATCGTGATCCAAATCATCATCATCATCATCATCATCTTCATTATCATCATCATCATCTTGAACATAATCATCATGATCATCATCCGAATCAACATCATCATCATCATCATCTTGACCATCATCATCATTGTCATCATCATTATCAACAAAATCATCATCACCATCAACAATAACATCAGCATTATCATCATCATCATCAGCATCATCATCATATTCATCATCATCATCATCATCATCATCGTCCTCAATATTCCAAACATCATCATCATCATCATCACCATCATCATTCAAACATCATCATCATCATCATGATCATCACCATCATCATTGTTATCATCATCATCGTCATCATCATCATCATCATCTTCATTATCTTCATCTTGATCATCATTATCAACATCTTCATCCGAATCAACATCATAAACATCATCTTGACCATCATCATCATTATCAGCATCATTACCATCATCATCATCATCATCATCAACATTAACATCTTCAACAGCATCATCATCAACATCATCCTCCGAATCATCAATATAATCATCATCATTATCATCGTCATTATAATTTTCATCATCATCATCAACGTCATCGTCATCATCAAAAAGATGATCATCATCGAGAACAACGTATTTATCATCATCATCACCATCATCATCAACATCATAATCATCATCATCGTCATCTTCATCATCATCGTCGTCGTCCGAGAAAAACCAATCCTCTTCAGAATGGCCCGAATCGTCATCATCACCCTCATCAGCATCATCCAAAATATCATTCGTCGAAATCATCCTTATCAGTAAAATCATCATCGTCATCATCATCGTCATCATCCTCATAATCATCCGAATCATCATCATCGTCATCATCATCATCATAATCATCCAAATCATGATCATCATCATCATCATCAGCATCAGAATGATCATCGCATTCATCGTCAACCGAATCACCATCGTCATCTTCTTCATCGAAATCATCAGCAACATCGTTATCATCATCATCATCATCATATTCATCATGATCATCATCATCGTCATCATCATAATCATCATCATCTGTGGCATCATCATCCAAGATATCATTATCATTATCATCGTCCGAAGCATCATCATCATCATCATCATCATCATCCATATTGTCATCATCATCATCATCATCATCAACATCATCATCATCATCATCCACATTGTCATCATCATCATCATCATCATCATCATCATCATCAT